CGGCGCGGCCCGCCCGCCCGCCGCAGGAAGCAGCCGGAGGATGTGCGGTAGCGCCGGGGGCCCGGCCGGCACGCCGTGACAGCCCGCCCCGGCACCGCGCTCGCCTCGCCCCGGCTGGCCGAGCCCCTCCCCGCGGAGGAAATATGTCCAAGATGCCGGCCAAGAAGAAGAGCTGCTTCCAGATCACCAGCGTGACCACGGCTCAGGTGGCCAGCAGCATCACCGAGGACACCGAGAGCCTGGACGACCCGGATGAGTCCCGCACCGAGGACGTGTCTTCTGAAATCTTTGATGTTTCCCGAGCCACCGACTACGGCCCCGAGGGTGTCTGCGAGCGGAGCTCTTCCGAGGAGACTCTCAACAACGTGGGCGAGGCCGAAACTCCTGGCAGCGTCTCTCCCAACCTCCTTTTGGACGGGCAGCTGGCTGTGGCTGTTGGTGGAGTAGCTGTGGCGCCGCCGGCTGTGGCCCCCAACGGAGGGGCTGTGCCTAAGAGTTCCTCTGTGCCCCTGCCAGCTGCTGCCCCTGGCACTGCTGTGGCAGGAGGCAGCAGTGCTCAAACCGCCTTGCCCTCCACAGGGCCTTCTGCATCTGCTGCTCCTGGGACGATGTCTCAGACGGTGGCTGCTGCGTGCAGCTCGCGCTTCAGGGTGATCAAGCTGGACCATGGTACAGGGGAGCCCTACAGGCGAGGACGATGGACGTGTATGGAGTATTATGACCGGGACTCGGATGGCGGTGGTGTCCTGGGCAGGACTGGAGACTGCATTAGGCACAGCAGCACCTTTGAGCAGGCTGCTCAAGAGAGGGACAGTGGCCTCGGTGCTACAGGAGGTTCCATCGTGGTCTCGACTCTGCCAGCGTCAGCCCATGGCCCCGATTCTATAGCTGACAGTTCCCTGACTGCTGTGTCACAGCTGCTCCAGACAGAGAAAATGAACCAGTCCTCTCTACAGCAACCTAGTTTTGTCATTGGGCAACAACAGCAGCCGCAACAACCCATAGGTGGGGCCATGCCTCAAAGTACTGCTCAGCCTATGTTTTCTGGGGCTTCGGTCGCAAATCAGCAAGTGATGGTGCCACAGCAGTCGCAGCCGCAGGTAACTACGCAGGGTGTTGCACAGGCTGGACCCAACGGGAAAGGCATGGCACCTCCGAGCGTGACAGTAGGGCAGCCGAGCATTCCTGTGGCACAGCAGCAGGTGCAGCAGGCGAACATACCGGTGACTCAGCCTCAACAATTTGCTTATTCTCAGTCCCAGATTCCACCAGTGCATCTACTGCCGACGCAGCCTTCTGGTCAGGCCGAATACATGCAGCACATGACAATTATGCAGTCTCAAGGAGCTATTCAACAGGCTACTACGGGCTCTGTTCCAAGTACTGTGGCTTCCAACCTTCCTGTGGGGCAGGTGACCGGCCAAAATCCCTCACCTGTGGGAGCGCCAGTGATGGGGGTGTCGGCGCAGCCCGGCGAAGCGGTCGGACAGGGCTCGGGATTAATGCAGAGTGGCCAGACACAAGCTAGTCAGGCTGCCGTTCCGCAACCAGGAGGTGTGGTGCAGCAAGGCATCGGACATACAGGGGTTGTGCAACAGAAATCTGTGACTCAGCATCAAATGGGTGGAAGCAGTCAAGTGTCCGGAATGCCTGGTGCTCCCCATGCTGTGGTCTCTGGAGTTCAGAACGTGCCTGCGGTTGTGCCCGGTACAAGCATGCCTAGTGTGTCTACCACCGCTTCTGTTACTATGCCAAATGTCCCTGTTACGCTGGTCCAGTCCCAGCTGACTAGCCACACTTCTGTCAGCAGAAGTACCGGCGTTGTCCAGCCACAGCACGTTGGACACTCGTTAATGCAAGGCACGCCTAATGTACCTGCGAATCTGCCACAGTCAAAC